ATGAACATGAACATGAACATGAACAAGAACAAGAACATGGGGTGGTCGTGCACCATGTCAGACGGAACGTTTGGGATGCATGTCTCTCGTACTATCCAGCCTCCAGTGCGCAGGCGCTTCAACAATGTCCGACTTCAAACTTGCCGTGGATGAGAACAACAAGGCCATCAATCTGCAAATCGATTGTTCGTTGATGCTTGGGGAGTGGCACTTGACCTTGAGTTACTTTTCCCATATATGCGATTTGTTTGTACGCAACAAAGCAGACATGACATGTTATATCCAGGTGCATGGCTTGATGTTGTTACTGAAAAACTTTTTTGGGGTCAATTCTTCCAGTGAAGTTTTCGATTGCTTGACACATGCGCGCTCTTGTTTGCAGGGTTGTGTTTATGACGGCCATTGACAGCGGCATGGTATGACCCTTGTTTGCTGTTCAGGCTACCGAGCTGCCCCTGCTACGTGTGTGTGGCACTGTGCAGCACCTTGGCTTTGACCTGCAGCGTTACGATCATACAAAGGGTGCTACTGGACCGCAAGTCTTGTTGCATAAGCGAAGTGAGTGACCAAACCCATTCAGTTGCAAAGCAAACATTTCAAACAGCTCCGTCATAAAACCACACAGACCAAGACACGTTGTCTTGCGAGATGTGATTGTGTTGGCTACTTTTTAGCCTGGAAATGTTTGGGCTTCAGTTGTCGTCGAGTACTGTGCGCAAGGTGCACATTGTCTAAATTTATATGTGGCATGGTTAGAACGCCTGATGCAAGGCATAGTAGTTATATAATATATACCATAATGAAAATTCGTTGTCCAACCAAATTCGGCTTTCAAAGAGGTTTACACATGCTGCTTGTCTGAGGCTTGTGGCCATTCCCACCCAAACCGAGTTTGTCAAGGTAGCCAAGCCAGCGAAGGCCCCAACAACACACAAGGTGTAAGGTCAGCCCAGAGAACCCTGATAATTAGATAATCATACCATCATGTGATTCAGGAATTCCCAAATTTTTTTGTGTATCTGCAAATATGCATCGCAGCTTTGTGCCACACCCAGCCGAGGCAAAACCCGCACATGCGGGCGTTCTGGGGTGCAACCATCTCCTTCTTTCTTGCCCGGGCCTCTTCCTGCTTCAAGGTAAGAAAGTTAGCGCGGCCAAAATGATGTTAAGGACCATGGAGTTTCAAGTGACTGACGGAAACCTTTTCATTCGTGGAAAGTCGATCCAAACTTGGCAGAGGTCACTATGTAGAGATCAAACTTGCATTTGTGTCATGCATGAACCGTGCAACCTGATCCCACGTCCTCATCACATTTCATTCGCTGACAGCCAAGTCATTGTCTCAGCCCAGATACGTACATGGGGCTCAATAGCTCAGCAGTTGCCGCACACTCCCGCAAAATGAGTTCATGCCGTTCAAAAAGACACATCGAACTCTGGGATGTCAACGTTCCGCGACTGCACCTGCTCACACAATCTGACAGAGAACAAACCTTAACCTACATGGGGCCTTTGGGCCATTATCCCTTTATAAACCCCAATATACTGTAGTAGTTTCCATTTTATTTTCCATTATCCCTATACCCCTCATCCTGCAGCCCTGAAACCCCAAAGACATGACTAAAAAAGGCTTTCAAACAACCAAGATACACGACAAAGGCATTCCTGGGCTGGTTTGCCTTGGCACCACTGGGCCTCGAGGTTGGCAGCTGTATTGGATCGGAAGGTTTGAGGATACTGGTTTAAGGTTCGACTTTAAGGTTCAGGGTTTAGGAGAATGGCCGGGTGCACAACAGTTTTGGTTTCACTGAACTTTAGCCCCGGTGGTTCGGTGGTTGGGGCGAGTTTCGAGTTGGCTTTGAGGATGTGGCTGGAGTTCGCAAGTATTTTGTCCCTTTACACAGCAAGCTCCCTTATTCTGATAGTGTTGGAGTCCGTGTGTGTTTGTTTTTTTTCTGCAGATTTAGGTCTCTGACCTCTTACTCTAAGTTCAAATAACTTCAACAACCGCCGCTAGGCTTTTCAATGTCCTTAATCCGCCTGATTGCCTCAGATTGCCTGTTGCTTGAAGGTGGCGCGTGGTAAGGCATCGGATGATGCGCTATTTTCTTTGGGGGGCCTTCTCCAGGTCAAAATACATAAAGTAGCCACTATACTAAGGCATTTAGCATCTAAGCTGCTGCTCGCTCTCGAGGCTTGTTGCAGGAAGATCTTTCAGAACATGCCTGCGCAACGCCCCAGCTCCACATTGCTGTTTCTGATTTGCTTGTGCCGCAGGTAGCAACCAGCATGGGCATGTGCGAGAACCAGATGTACCCCACGGCTACCCATCCAACAAGGCTTGTGTGCAAAAAATCGGAGAGTCCCCGACCTGTCCTGTCATGATGGTAGGCATAAAAAGTATGTTTCGAGAGAATCCCTGCATGATGGACAAGCAAGTTGCAAATCTAAGAGATCCTGTTTCGCAAGTTGGCATGTCAGAGTTGCTGGTGTGGTTTCTGAGATCAGCGTGTCTTTGCATTTTTGGCATCTCCAAACCCTGCGCCATGCAGCCTGCTCCCAAGCCTTATTTCCAAAATCTTAAATCCTCGGGCACCGTGGCAGGAAGGCGTACTTGAAGTTCACGAACCTCGCATCCGGGCTCACCTACTGCACCAAGGGCCAGGCCCATTGGATATGAGCTGTAGTCGAACAAATTCCTTAAAAGGTTATATCGGAGCTTTTATAGGGGTTTATTGTAGGGGTTTTAAGGGTAGGGGATACTAAGGAGTTTAGACTGTAGCTCATACGGGGATGCTGGGGCATTTCACAAACGGGTAAGCGGGTAACCCGCAAGACCTCCTTCTAATCCCCATTTATCACTAGAGTCGCCGAAGGGCCTCCCATTTTCAAAGGCCTTTGTTTGGGAATGGCGCTGTGAATTCTGACTCATGTGCTTGGGTTCGCGGGCACCTCAAAGTTTTGAATCAGATCTGCTTTGGAAAATCCGGACATAGGTTGCGAGCTTGATAAGTTGTGAAGTCTCGGGACTTTTCATTTTTAAGCTCTTGTGTCAAGCAGGTATAAGGACTTAGGTTCCAAGCACTACGCTATTGCAATTGCGTGAGGTTTGGTTGGACTGGAAAGTAATGCTTGCTGTGCAAGGTATGGGGTCAGAAACTTGTGCATTGGTGTGACACTTCGCTCATTCCAGGTCAAGAACACGGATTGTTTACTTTTGGATTGTCGCTCTTGACGCGGGTTTGTTCAGGCTCCTGATGTACGTGCTAGACTGGATGGCTTTGCATGTGTGGCCTCAGTTCTGAGATGTTGTGAGGTCTAATCTGAAAGCTCTGAAAGTTTGAGGTTTTTACCCATCCATGAATACAAGAAGTGTCGCTGTCCTGAGGGGACAACTTTTTCTGGGGGGATTGTCGGACCGGATCCTGGACAGAAGTGAAGATGAAGCTAGCAGGAATCGCAATGAATGACGCCTTTCACAGCAGGATTCCTAGAAATGCAACCAGGAACGGCCTCGACTCGTAGCCTGTTGAACCTCAAATCCTGAGCTCTCCTCTCAAACCAAGAGTGAGACTGCTTTGAATTAGTGACTTTATCAAGTGTTCCTGCCATAGGTCAAGGATGCAGATGGCAACCCCACCGACTGCCGCCTGGCGCAAGCTTGGAGTCCAGGCTTTTGAGTGTAGCGTCAAGTGAGACTTGCAGTGCAGAATTAGACTTTGCTAGATGTTCTAGCCGCCAGATTGACTTTGTTGCTCGTGAACAGTAAGCTTAAGGATTTCATTGCGAGTGAAATCCTCAAACTTCTCAACCACCAACAGGAAGTGCTTGAGAAATATGACCGAGCTTCTCAAAGCTGCGCATGAGCACTAGGTAAATTTGTCTAAATCACTTCGACTCGAACAAAAACCACGGACAGACAGGACTGACATCTAGCAATGAGAAAATAGCAAAAACTATGATAATGGGCTACTAGTATTACCATTACTATTACTATCAGGCTTCCCTGCACTATCTCCAAGCCATCGAAACTCCAGATGCTGCAAAGATTGTTCCACATGTTCATTCCACATGCATGCATGTCGAGTCCCTCTTGCTGTTGAAGAGAAGTTGCCGCATGGTATAGGTCCAAATCTTGTGAAAGGTCTGTGACCTGCCTTTCATTGTCTGTTGCGAATGTTAAAAGCACGTACCCCAGACAGGATGTCTTAACTTCGGAGCTCCGCATCCCATGCTGCAAAGGCACCCCAAATCAACCACTATTCAGGGTACTGAGGAAGTCCGCCAGAAAGCATCAGCTGCAATGCTCCATAGAGGATGAAGGTGCCGAAGCCTAGGCGTGGACCCTACGGCCACTGAGCTCGCGGGTGGCATGACGAAGTACAGGCGCACGTAATCCCTACAAATACACAAGCTCCAGCCCTTTTAAGCCCCGTATCATGCCATTTTTCGGAAGACTCCAGGGCAAAAGCCAGGAATGGGGGGAGAGTGGAGGGTTCAAGGTGTAGATTGAAGACTTGGGGGCTTCAAAGTTGAGCGGTCCTAGGGCATTGAAGGTGGTGGGAACCGGTTTCGTCTCTCGAGGGCTGGTCTCCAGAGTTGGGGTCTTGCTACATGCCTTAGAAAGGTATCTGCTGCAGGTGGGCAGCTGTGCAACTTTTCTTGTTTTGGTTTGGTCCCTGAACCGTCAGTCTACATGCAAGACAACTTCGAGCTTAGAGTGCGAGAGCAGCAGCATGTGAATTTGTTCCAGATGAACTTCGTGTGAGCTTCGTGGGTACTGTCAATTCAGATCTTGCTGCTGCGGGAACCATGAAGTGCTGTGCTCATGGCTCTAAGCTCAGAAGCGCATACTGGCCAGAAAGCCTTTGCCCCCACACCGGGATTGTTCGCTACTCACATGCTAGCTGGGCATGAAGACATGACCCAACGAAGCCTCAATCTTAAACCCATTGAACTCCATCACTGTTTGTAGAACTTGAACCCTGTCATCACTGTTCTGTGCAAGTGCTTGTGGAAGGCCGGAGGTCCTCGTGAAGTGCGTTTGCACTGCTGGCACCGAGTGCCGCCCGTCCATGTGGGATGGTTCTTGGGTGCAAGCTTTCAGGGCTTCAGGTCAAGGTCGACTCCCGCAGAAGTCATACTTTAGTGATGCCCAGATCTGCTATACATCTTCACGTTAAGCAGCAATCGGCAAGTTTCGGCTTAGACATGTGCTTTTGACGATGCAGTCCTCCAGTCCTGGAGCATGCAAGCAGGCAGGCTATCAGCGGCAATTATTTATCCTGAGGTTTGCAGTCTGGAACATGAACGGCCTGGCCCAAAATCAAATAAGAGCTGTTGGATTTCCTTGTCTCCCAGGATGGGGTTGCAACAAGGAAGAGTGTTGCCACCCGTCAAATCAACATGCATCAACCTAAAGGAAGCTTTCGCCGTTTGCCAAGACTTTCTCCTCCAATCCTGGAACGCTTGAGCACAGTGACGAAGAGCCGGCTAGAAGGATTAGAGAGAGGGCGACCCCGAATTAGATGCTCAAGACGTTAGGCACAAACCCAGTTGCAAGAGTAGACAGGTGCTTCATCCTCCATACACTTCACCCCAACTCAACAAAGCTGTCCGCAAATGCTAGCCCTACAAAGGCAACGGTATGATCGCGAATGCTGGTGTGGCAGCAGTGGCGAGCACTATCTTTGTGCGCATCGCGCTAGGATTCTTGGCGTGCAGATGAAGACTTTGGGTGAGTGCAGGGTAACTGGGCTCTTTGCCGGAGATCCTATCCAGTTCACGATGTTCGTAGGGTTGTGAGTCGAGGGACCATGTTGTAAGTTGAAGAACTTTATGGAAGGCCTCTTTGCCAGCGTAGTTTCTGAGCCTTCACTTCAGGGTGATTCTGTGTCTAGCCTTTGGCCTTCAAATCCTTGGATTACCCACATTATGTCCCAAACCAAGAGCATGCAGAGGCACGCTGCTGGAGCGTGTGGGCCCTGTCGCTTGGCGAGTAGTGGAGATACACCCTGAGTGGCAGGGTTTGGGCAGGGGCAGAGGCTTTGAAAGTCCTGAATCAAGCTTTGGGATGTCGGGTGAAGTGCCCGGAGTAAGATTCGATGCGTCAAGGCTCAACTTCAAATGTCTGATTGCTGCTCGCATGAGCATTGAGGAGTGCATGCGTATTTTGTTCGCAACTACTCTGCAGGTGCGTCTTGCAAACGTTAGATATGCTCGAAGGAGGAAGCGTGTTCCGGTCAACCGTGTTGCTCAAAGTTTTCAACTTGATTGCTGAGGCCCTGGTGATGAAAGTTCATTTAGCACATAGAAGGTAGTGAGCCCACATTGACTTTTGATGTAGTTGTTTGAATGCAAGTAGGGGTCGTTCTGCATTTGTATCAGAACTTTTTTTTGCTTTCTGAAGCCTCTTTGGCCACAGCGCAAGCACCCTCTCAGGATCTTCGCTCCTCCAAAAAACGTTTTCGAATAATAATATTTCAAATCAGGGGTCCTTCATGAAGTGATGGATTTTGCCCGGTCTTTGAGTACATCCTACTAAAACCTCAGCCCCTAGCATAAAAGTCTTCCCCATAAGAGACCTTATACATTCGGGGACATTTTGAATGTTAGGAATGGGGGCCTGTTTGATATTGGCTTGAGGGGATTAGAAGAGTAAGCGTCTTCCTGAAACTTGCGGATTGCAAAGTCAACATGATCAGTTTCGATGATGTCTCACGCTAGATGGATCCACAGCAAAAAATCGCACAGCTGACGGCGCCTTTGTAGAAGAAACGTCGTCCCGCAGCGGTTCATGATTAATGCAACGGCATGACGCATACAAGCCAGATTTGAAGCATTTTGGATTTCGTGTGATACTCTGAATAGTTCTTTGCTGACAGCAGTTACGTGTTAAAGTCAACGTGAGAAAATGAGGAACATGGCAATTTCCATTGTTTGAGGCCAGTCCGAAGTGTCTGCATGCATTGAAACATGTAAGTACTATGAAGCATCTGCAGACAAGGCAGCTTAGACACCGGCGCAGTTTTCATGATGGATTCTGCTCAACACAGCAGGCATGTCCAAGCACGTCCATCTAGATTCCTCCTGCTAGCAAGGGATAGTTTCAGACATGACCGGTATTAGAGTTGAGAGCCTCAATAAAACCTTGGGTGGTTATACTCGAGGAGTACTTCAAGCACAAGAGAGACATTGTTTGTCCAAACCACAAACCGGGTATTTTAGTGGAGTGAAGGAAACGAGCTATGTGAGATGCTGTTTTTGGGACAACTGTAAATGCAGTTTAGGGAGCGTTCAGACCTAGTCAGAACCAATGCCTTAGTAACATCCTGGTCCAGTACTGACAAGGGAGGTGAACGTGCAATCACCCAGCGATCTGTCTAAAGAAAGGTGAACGTGCAATCGGGCTTGCTAACCTTCGGCGCTATCTGGGTAGCCGCCGCGGCCGGTATCAGTGCACCTTGGAACTACACGATGATCCGTGCCCTGGTGTGCATCAAGATTCCCCAGAACAACAAGAATGATAATAGTAGTAGTAACCATAACAGTAGCAATGCCAAGCATAGCAGTAAAGCCACTAACAGTACACAAAATCGTAAACAAGAAGGACATCTACCCCATTCATCCAACTAACTAATCGCCCTTAGGCGCTTTCCCAAACTTAGGAGTATGTTTTTGGGGTCGCCATGGCATTTTGGGTCTATATTGGGATACCTTATTTCGGAAACTACCACTTGGGAGGGTGGAGGGCAAACGGCTACAATGTTTTTCATGGTAAAGATCTTTATGGGGCTCGAGAGGAGCATCTCACGCCATGAATGCAGAGTAGACGGCGGATCACATCAGATTTTTCATAAGCCGGAACGTGAATGTGCGTGGGCTTGAACCGTTTTGCCGCATCAGGCTGCCCGAAAGTAATGTTGACCCCCTTGAGGTTTCTTCATCGGCTGCGCTGGAGCTACGCGCCTTGCTGTCGATAGCATATGTTACATGGTAGGCGCAGATTGCACACAATACTGAAGGACATTCTTACGTTGGTTGGTTTCCAGGCAGAGATCTTGCAAGTTCAGTCCAGAATTCCAACTTCAAGCGCGAACACACTTTCTGCATAGTAGCAGCAAGGTACCCCTGATCCTTTTTGTTTGGGGCCTGAAGACTGCTGAAAACCGAAGACAGCAAGCCTTCAAATCGTGCTGACACAAGACTATGTTCCGTAAGCATTCCTTGTTTGGAGGCTTTGAGGTTGTAGGGTGGGTGGTTGTTTTCACTCAGGAGGTTGCAAGACGGTACTGCCACTTTTTTCAAATCATGCTTGGGCTTCTAGCCTCTTGCCCTTACTTAGCTTTCGAAACAAACCCCAACACCCCACAACTGCAAGCTGATCTACACATCCGATGGGAGTGCTAAGGTTTGTCACCAATCAGTTCTGGTGCTCGTTGATGTTTGCTCCGAATGTGATCGGAACTGCAAACGCCACGGCCGCTGGATGGGGCAACCTCGGAGGTGGTGCCACTTTGCTTGAAAATTATTACCTTTGCCCATAATATTGGGGTAATATTGGGGATAATGGAAAATCAAATGGAAACTACTATAATATATGGGGTTATATAGGGGCACTATACTGGTGTGAAGTAGGATCTTCTGTGCAGAAGGCAATGGGTTGTTGAGAGCAACAAACAACATTGACGCAGGCTTCAGTGGGGAGCATACGAATCGTAAAGTTAAGCGCTTAGGGGCAAGATCTGCAAGTTGCAGGTTTCAGCAGTCCCTTGGCAGAATTGTTTTTGAGCAGGTTTATGTATACCGGGGTAACGACCAGGCTGACCTCAAGCATAGTCACTTTCACTGAACCGAAGGGGTGTACAGCAAGACAGTTCCATGAGAGGCAGTGAAGGAGAAATGCATAGAACAAGATAAACTAAGAAACGAAAACAAGCTGAAAAGGTAGAAAGAGAGAGAGAGAGAGAGAGAGAGAGCCATGCTAGGGTTTGAGAGGAGGTGTCACAGCCGGAGTCAGAAGCGGTGAAGTTGGTATGCTGGCATTCAAGGGAGCATGTTTTTGAACATTCTGTTGCTGAGCGGGGCTTTCATACTAGCCGCCTGTCTTCGAGTGCCAGTGTACTTCCATCAACCGGGACCTGCCACGGCTTGCGTGCCCGGACCGTCAGCCTGCTTGGGGTTTTGCCCCAGCCCCTCTTTCGAGAGGGGTAGAGCAGTGAAAAGAAGAAGAAGAAGAAGAGAGAGAAAGGGAGAGAGAGAACCCTCTTAGTCTCGGGAACTGGGGAACCCGCCGGGCTTGAGCCACATGCCGAAGCCATTTTCCGACGAGATGAGGCCCCCCGCCTTTCTCACTTCCTGTCACATGACTTGTGGCCATGGAAGGGGACCAGTATCCTGACAATGACGGGGAGCCGTGGAGAATCCAGATAGCAACTGACAGTGGCAGGGGGAGCTGTTCAGAATCCAGATAGCAACTTCCGTTTCGGAAATTGTGCCAGCCGTCTCAGCTTGATCCGGTTCAATGCAGGCGGCCAAACTAGGGTACTGATGAAAACCTACAGGGGCAAATTCTGTCTGATGAAATTAAGTGTGCTGCAGTAAACTGCAGTGGGGACCGTGGACCCCCAAATCAGCCTTGACCTTGCCTTGCAAGGGAGCTGCCGCGCAGCGTGCTGATACCAAGAAAGCTCCAAGAAAGCTGTGGAACCCACCAACTTTTTCGCGCGGCCAAAATGGATGGCAATCGTGCCAGCAGAGCCTGCGAGCTTCTGCCATCACAGGTTGACAAACCCATTCTTCAATTATGACTTCGCCTCGTACAGGCTTGCCCGCCTCCTCTGATCTGGTGGTCGCGTCCCGCTCATGCATCAAACGCACGCACATGGTCAATGAGCGTGGCTTAGCTAACGATCACTTGCCCCGGCGTTGTCGCGAGAAACTGCTTGTTAAGATCGGTAATGCGTAAGACACGTATCGGAAGCGTCGGTCTTTATTGCGAAGCGTTGTGGATTGGCGCTTACCAGGCCCGTGGGGGGAGCCTTCGCTTCTAAAACTTGTCAGCCACAACTGGAGCCAGCTTTTACACAGGTGCGCCGTCCGTCGCAAAGTTTGCCGCGCCCTCAGGGGAGCTTTCAAAAGCCTACGCCCATGGCCTGGCGCCAGCGTGAGTGGAAAGCCTTTCGACCTGCAGGACGCTCTGTTGTCCGGCTCCTAAGCCCAAGCACGTGTCCAACCACCCCAGGGCTAAGTGCCATTCCAATTGAGAAAGTTCCGGTTGTGGGTTTGGTTGGCTTGTTAGATGGTCCCACAGCGTCAGGCGACGCGGGTGTGCGGCATACTTGTGGTAGGGTCATCCTACATTGGCCGAGTTTTTATGCATTGATTGAGCGTTTACTTGGGGAAGCCATGTCTTGGGACTGCTTAATAACATAGCGGAGAAAATATGAGGAAGTGCTGTTTATGGAGTGAGCGGAAACATCATCAAACAGGAAGCAAGACATTGTCCGAGAATCCCATAGCTCAGG